GCAAAGATGAGCCATGCCACTCGGTTGGATCCAATTAAATTCCTTCTTTCCGCCTTCCCCATTTTTAGTTTTTTCTTCGCGTTAAATGTTGAATAGCCTTCTTCCCAGTTGTGTAGTTTCAGCGTTGAGGATTGTATAGTTAGGCCTAAATGCCGCTATATTACTCTCCCATCAGAATCAACTTCATGTTAGTTCGATACCGAATTGAGCGTTATTGTTGATCACCGGAGGTTACCTAGAGTATCAATAATCCTCCAAATAGTGATAAGCTGAAAGGTAAACCATAAAGAAAGCGGCGGCAGCTGATGGAGAAATAAATATAGTAATTTCAAAATGTTTCGTTTAATTAATAGCATGCAAAATATGGAAATCTAGCAGTTGAACAAAATGAGATTGTAACAATTTAGAAAGATTCTGTGTAGAGATATTTTAATAGATCTCCGTAAGATTCGTAATAATGACGTTGATTAGCAACTCAACTTATAGGCAGTACAATTACTTAGTGTTTAGAAAAAAAAGCAATCAATTTTGTGTCGATATCGGAATTACCTTTGGTTTATGTAGCAAAGTCAGTTAACGTTTATCCCGGCAATCTGTCCGTATGAGTTGATTTCCAATTTTGTCTACATTACAAGGCTTACTGAATGGATAATAGTGTAACCGTGGGAAAGAAGAATCCTAACCAGTGCTCCGGTTAGTTTGTTAAGTTTGATACGGCTTATTTAGTTACGGGGAGATTTGCACGACCTCATTATTACTTAACCGTGATAGAATTTAGTAATACGACTAATACATATGAGTGGTTACCAAAAATCCATTTAAGTGAAAATAGTGTTAATTGTGTGCATTTTGGACAGATATTAGTGTAATCGTGAAAGACACGCTCTAGAATCAGTGTTATTTATGTTCATATCTACCGACTAACGGTGCATACAATTAAGTTGCAAGTATCGAGCCTCACATAAGGTATTTACAAATATAGTGATTGAGAACTGTTGAAATCGACCAAGCCCATGTGCAAAAGACAACCCTGGTGTGGTGTTGCGCGATCCTTAAAACTGGATAAATCTTTACACGATGATTATCAGGGAGAACATAAGTTGTAACCAAGAGAAAGAGAACACTCTCAACTCACGTCTAAGGTAATGACTTGAACCTTATTATCATTATTGTTATTATTATTAATGGCTTTATTCAATATTATATTTTTGTACAATATAGAATTCTCAGCACAGGGTATTTCAACAAGTTACGCAAAAAAACATTAACAGAGACAAAAAGGTTTTAAAAAAAACCGAAAGACTGTACAACTTTTTAACTTAGAGACGTGTTAGGAATGCTGGTTATTGACTAGGTTAATTCTAACAACCTGTTCGTCACAGAGTATATTTGCTAGGTAAGGTATTATAGAACTTTTATACTTTTGCTTGAGTGCATGGATTTTAATGTAATTACGTCTCGTTCTATCAGAAGACATACAAGGAGAAAGATTAGAGTGAATGGGATGGTTAGTATCTGATAAAATAACGCCTGCCAGGAGTTTGTGTGACCTTAGATGTCTATCCACAACCATATTATTTATGACCTCGAAAGATTCATCACACACCTTACTAAATGCCTTAAGCACTCTCTGCAATACAACAAAGTCTTTTCTCAAAAACCCAGAAAAGAATAATGTTGAACAATAAAGAATAATAGGTAATACGAAAGAATTGACAAATTGTAAGACTAAATGACGAGTAATCTCAAGAGCATGCAATCTCTTTATGTAGTAAGTCAGATGGAAAACCTTCGATAACAGTAAAACGTGGGAAGACCAAGAGAGATCAGAGGAAAAGTTAACACCAAGATAACTGACCTTCGACACTGTGTTTATCAAAGAGTCTCCAATGTTACAAGCATTATGGGATCTCAAAATGTTTAGATTCCGTTCATGTCTCATGCTAAAGTAAACAGTTTGACATTTAGACGAATTAAGTATGAGACCATTACCAACAGACCAACAATCAATACGAGAAAAAAACTCATTCATTTCTATCTGTTGTAAAGAGGAAGAGATAGGCATACATACAGTGAGAACGTCCGCATATTTCACAAAAGTGTTTTCTGTGGAAGATGGCAAATCATGCATAAAAAAGAGAAAAGAAGAGGTGAAAGAACGGCTCCTTGTGGTACACCTTGATGAGACAGTAGAGACTCTGAACACTTTCCTCTAAACACAGTAAACTGTTTCCTTACAGAGAGGTAGGAATATAGCCAGTTGGTTATCCAGCCGTAAGTGTTGATGCTGATTGACTTGTTAATAAGGCTACAGGGATTATCTTCATCTTTCTCCACATTTTCGGTATAAGATGTGAAGGACATGTTAAAGGTAGTCGTGAATGGATAACATAGAACGTCAGCACATTTTTTAACGAGGAGATTTTGGATAACATCAGGTCCTAAACATCAGGATGAGTTAAGTGAATGGAAACACCTTCTGACATCAGTTTCAGTGAAACTAGGGACACAGCTATTCATTAAACCTGTGGATGAAAGGAGCATTACATCAGATGACTGACTTACAAGACTTACTTAAGTCACAAACGTTCAGCTGGTTATCGCTTCTAAACTGTCTGTCACATACTTAGAGAGTTTCCGCAAGACAAATGTTTTTGAGTAAACATGGAGTTGGTACGTCTAATTTCTATGTTTATCAAACCATTTAGCTTACGAACTTCATTGGAGATTTTCTCCTTGTACATTTTTTCTTTCACCCTCCGTGGTCATTTTAGTTGTGAAGATGTAAGTCGATCAAAACTTCCAAAAAGAGTTCCAGTCGGACAACAAATTCCAAAACAGAACTTAAGGTAACAAGTGATAACATCAGTAGTGATTTCCAGTTAGTCATATGAAACATGTTTTCCAGATTTTGGATATTTTCTTCTGAGTAATTCATATATTTGACTTCCTTGGTTTGATGTAAGAGTGTACTCTTCCCATGCTTTCCATATACTTTAGGTAAGACACGAATTATACAGTGATCCGAGCTAGACAATGTAGCACGTTTACGAGTCGTATATATACCCACATCATTAATGAAAACGAAGTCTATATGAGCATCCAAACGAGTAGGAAAATTTCTTACATTTTGGTGACCTAGTGACGTAAGAAAGCTACATTCACATGGATTGAAATCATCACATACAACTGAAAGTAAATAACTGAAGGCAGTAACAGGGAACTCAGTGAATTTGTAACAGCATAGGTTGGTTGGTTAAGAGTTGACCCCAAACAACCAAGCATATGCCAAAACAGTATTGTTCAAGTATTCATTCACTTCCTTATTTTGTATAAGCGTTATATTCCTTATTATCTTATATTGAATGCTGGAAGCCTTTGTTTGTCTGAACAGATAATCCCACGCTCCACTGTGACTGCGCTAAGATCGAAATAAAGATTTCATTCAATTAGTGTCTGACTTCTTCTATCAATAACACGAGGGTTACCTATAGGCACGAAACTGGTGAGCCCTTTTTGAACACAAATTAACCTCATTTTTGTTATTAATATTATTTTTTTTTACTCAATCGTAAAAGTAGACCTGATAATCCGTAAACTAAGTTGGGTATATAAATAGTTTATTTTTTTTATTATCTTAAGTTATTCGTGTCATAGAAACCATTTTTTTTTCGTGCTAATTTTGTTGCTATATTTGTCACATACCTCATGTCAGACTTAAAAGAAACCCATAATCTGGAGGATTTGTCACCAGTGGAGATAGACACTGTTATGACTACGAAATCTCGACTTCCAGAATTTGATCGTAGTGATCCTGAGTTGTGGTTTGCTCAACTCGAGCATTATTTCACGAGACACAATATCAAATCTGAAGGGATTCGCTATAGAGATTTGTGTTCTATCCTTCCTCCTTCAGTCGCCAAAGAAGTCCGTGACTTGATTTTAGATCCACCATCACCACAACCGTACACCGTCTTAAGACGAGAGATAATGAACCGTTTATCATTATCAGATAGTCAAAGAATCCAAAGATTTTTTCAAGGTGAAACACTAGGTGATCGGTCGCCGTCACAGTTTCTACGTCACCTCCAAGTCTTAGTGGGTGATAACACAGTGGGTGAAGCAGTCCTAAAACAAGGATGGATACAAGCTCTCCCATGCTACGTCCAACATTGTTTGGATGCACAAGATCCTGAAACCTCATTATCTCATTTAGCGCGTATAGCTGATAGAATAATGGAAAGAGGTCCTCCAACTGGATCAGGCACAATAAATCACACACAGAAAGTAGAATCAGCAAAAGACCCCGTCATAGAAGGACTCATTGCGAGTGTTAAGAGTCTCACTGAGGCTGTCACCAGAATGCAAATGGGTCATACAAACAGGAACAGGTCACCACAACGATCACGATCCAAGTCACAAAATAGGTCACAAATGTCCAGACAATCTGGGCAGTTTTGTTGGTACCACTGGAAGTTTGGTGTCAACTCAACCAAGTGCAGGCAACCATGCGCCTGGCCTAAGCATAATTCCAAGACAGCGGGAAACGAGTAACCCCTCCCCAGGTCGCGACAACTGAGGAGGGGCGCCTAAACAGTCGCTTGTTTTATGTCAGAGACAGAAACTCGGGCTTGAATTTCTTGGTGGACACTGGCGCTGCTCTTAGCATCATCCCTCGAAATAAAACTGAGATTAGTCGAGAAACATCCCCGATTACACTTCAAGCTGCAAATAAAACTACAATCGCGACATTTGGGCAGAAAACGTTAACCCTAGATTTGGGGTTCAGAAGGCAATTCCCTTGGGTTTTCACGGTAGCCGACTTAGATCTGGCAATACTGGGGATGGACTTTCTAGAGAGATACGAATTTCTTGTTGACACCAAGAAACGGCGATTAACACTAAAAGAAACTTCGTTTTACACAAAAGGCAAAGAAAGTCACATCAGCTCTCTTAACTTGATTCAAACCCCTCCAATAACAACAGCGAAATTCCAAGATATACTCGCGGAATTTCCAAACTTAACCAAACCAAACCCACAGCCTTCCAAAGACAAACTAAAAGTAAGTCACACTATCAAAACCGAAGGTGCACCGGTGTTTGCAAAACCCAGGAGACTAGCACCAGATAAGCTCAAAATCGCCAGAGCCGAGTTTGATTATATGCTACAACTGGGTATTATCCGTCCCTCTGATAGTCAATGGGCATCCCCTTTGCATATGGTCCCAAAGAAGAATGAAGGTGACTGGCGACCGTGCGGGGATTACAGAGCCCTCAACCGTCAAACCGTACCAGATAGGTACCCAATACCGCATATCCAAGATTTCACAAACGGTTTACAGGGTATGAACATATTCACTAAAATTGACTTAGTCAGGGCATATCACAATATCCCGGTGGCTGATGAAGATATCCCTAAGACAGCTATTACAACACCCTTTGGCTTATTCGAGTTTGTACGCATGCCATTCGGCCTGAGAAATGCGGCACAGACATTTCAAAGATTCATAGATAACCTACTTCGAGATATGCCATTTGCGCAGGGGTATATAGACGACTTGTTAATTGCCAGCCCCGATTTGCAATCACACGAAGAGCATGTACGAGCAGTGTTGACAAGATTGAATGAACATGGAATAAACATACATCAAAGTAAGTGTGTTTTCGGTGTTCAAACTTTAGAATTTCTTGGTCACACAATAAGCCCAGAAGGGATTAAACCTATAAAAAAAGAAGTGGATACCATCAAACAATACCCGATACCTAGCTCTCTAACACAGATGAGAAGTTTTCTAGGTCTAATTAACTTTTATCGCAGATTCATACCAGGTTGTGCACAATTAATGCAACCTTTAACAGATTTACTTAAAGGAAAACCAAAAGAATTCAAACTGTCTTCTGACGCCGTCGAAGCTATTAAACAGCTTAAAGATAAACTGGCTCAAGCAACTACGTTGATATATCCGAATTCTCTTTCCCCACTTGCTTTGATGGTGGATGCTTCAGATAAAGCAGTAGGCGGTACCCTTAACCAACTGGTTAAAAACGCCTGGAAACCAATTGCTTTCTTCTCGAAAAGACTCGCTCCAGCTGAGACAAGGTATTCTACCTTCGGGCGAGAACTTCTTGCAATCTACCTGACTATTAAACACTTCCGACACATGTTAGAAGGTAGGGAATTTATAGTCTTTACGGATCACAAACCACTGACGAATGCATTAAAAGCGAGAGCCGATAAGTACTCACCTCGAGAAGTCCGACACCTTGACTATATATCACAGTTCACAAGCGATATCCGACATGTCAAAGGTCAGGACAATCAGGCGGCAGATGCTTTATCCAGACTAGAAATGAACGTGGTACAGCAGTCTACAGTAAACTTCGAGACGTTGAGACACGAACAAGAGCAGGACCTAGAATTACAAAACCTACTCAAAACAAACAATTCAAGTCTTAATTTAAAACAGTTCCCATCACCTATCGATGGTATTCTAATTTACTGTGACACGACTAAGGCAATGCCGCGACCTTTCGTTCCCAAAAATATGCGAAAGTTGATATATAATAACTTTCATTCTTTGTCTCATCCTGGAGCAAAAGCTTCAACTAAACTAATCAATGCCAGATATATATGGCCGAATTTACAGAAGGATGTACACAAATGGGTTAGAGAGTGTTCAGCATGCCAACAATCAAAGATTAATCGTCACACAAATTCACCCATAGGTGTTTTCTCGCAACCAGATGCACGTTTTGCACATGTGCATATCGACTTGGTAGGTCCTTTACCCCGTTCAAATGGTTTTAATTATCTTTTTACATGCATAGATCGATTTACCAGATTCCCTATAGCCATCCCGATAGCGGACATCACAGCGGAAACAGTAGCCAAAGCTTTCATGCAGAACTGGGTAACCATTTTTGGTACACCCATAACAATAACGACGGATAGAGGAGCGCAATTCGAATCCGAACTATTTAATAACTTGGCTAAACTTCTAGGCTCTAATAGGATACGCTGCACTGCATATCATCCTCAGGCTAATGGGATGGTAGAACGTTTTCACCGTCAGCTAAAAACCGCCCTTATATCTCACTCAAACCCCAATCAGTGGACAGAATTCCTACCTTTAGTTATGTTGGGAATACGAACATCTGTCAAAACTGACGCACAATGTTCAGCTGCGGAACTGGTTTTCGGAACAACTCTGAGACTACCAGGTGAATTTATTAACCCTAATACTAACAGTCAAAAACTTAATTTAGAAAATTACGTAGATCAACTACGGGACCATATGTCCAAACTTAAACCAATTAATACTCGCGAACAATCGCGCGCCGTATATGTACCTAAAGACCTAAGCAATTGCACGCACGTCTGGATAAGATGTGATAAAATAAAATCACCACTCAGTCCTCCATTTGAAGGTCCTTTCAAAGTCGTCTCAAGAAAATCTAAATATTTCGTGATAGAAAAACATGGAAACATCGACACAATAAGTATTGATAGGCTAAAACCGGCTTATCTAGATCATGAACCACCATACGTATTGTTAGATCGTATAACTGACAAATCCATTACGGAATCGAAATGTAAAGATGATAAATCTTTACAAATGACTAAAACGGTCCGCTGGGCACATCCAATTAGTCAGTCAAGGATGTTGACAGTTTCGGCTGCAGGATAAAATCTAACCACGTAGCTAATCAGACCCTGCATCTACTTAGAAATAATTATTTTTCCTCATTCCGCCTCACCTACAACTCCCCAGACCTTTTACCTTTAATATATAAGTATTATGTTAAATATTTTTTTTTAATACTGGACACATAAGCTAGGTATTCCGAAACGATGGCTGAGGATTTTAATCAAACTCATACAACTAACACTGGCAAATACAACGATATCAAAAAGCAACCCAGGCGAGTTTTATAATTTCTTTTCTGGTTAATTAACTATGTTGGCTGTACTTATTATATATCTATATACATTTTTCACGCAGACTGGCTATACATATATACCATATGAACTACTTCTAAAAGTTTTCGGTCGAAGATATGTTTAGTAGCTTGATACGATTAATACTACTATTAATAAGTGGTTTTCTAGACAAAACATTTTGGATTAAACCATGGCCAAGTACTTATTAAAGTTCTCATCATTTTTTTTCATGTTTAGGAAACTTATGTAATGACTTAACCAGTTTTCCTGCAGCATGCTTTTTAGTGTGATCATATAACCCATCTTTATTGGCAATATTCAGATTTTTTTTTAAAATTCTGACATTTAAGAATCAATAACCGTGGAAATATAGTACAGTGCGTTACTGTAAGGTTACTATGTTAGCCGCATTGATTCCGCATACCTAATTTTAAACACAACTTATAAAGGAACTCTTAAGTAATCATAACATTGAACTAACGATATGACTATCATAGCTATGTTAACGTTAAACCAATTATTATTAGTGGTCCTGACAAAACCCTGGAACTCAACACTAGCGTTATAAAAAAGACATGTTATGTCAGTAACTTTTATATATATATATACTTTTTCTCTCGGTTTAAGTATAACGTAAAATGGAAATCACAAAACTTGTAGATTTTTTTTTCTCTATAGTATTATTAGTAATCCAAACAAAGAACGTGTACTGTTCCAATATGGCATTCTGATATATCAACCAGTCCTCCTGTTATTTTTCTCTCATATCTGAGCAACTTATGGCCAACAAACATCGTATTGAAGGGGGTTTCGATGAACAAAAACGCATGACCCACACGCACTCGAACCTCAGCCCTTCTGAATGCTAGACCGCGTACCTAGCCATTAGGCCACATCAGACCACGAGGGGTGACTGCAATCTTTCCTTTTACCAATTATTCATTCATAATACTAATGAGTAATAGGACTTACACACTTCTAAGGTGCAGACAAGTTCGTTACTTTGATTAATTGACGAAATATTGCCTCAGTATATCATACATATTTAAATCAAACCAGAAAAGAGTATTTGACACAACTGTACTTGATCCTCATACTCTACACAATTTTCTCTCCTCTTTAACCGTATATTCTCTTCCGTTTTATGGAGTAAAATTATGCACCCTTGGTTACGTACCTGGTTAGAAAAGGCGGTTGTCACATTCCCAAGGTCACACATTTGAACGGGTTTGACAATGAGTCCAACTTCTAGCAAGTTTACACTTTTACATTTATACATTATAAAAAAGGATTTTATTTATTTTCATACCTTTTCGTACACAAGATGGCTACACTATGTCTATTTTCTTCCAGAATACCAATCCGTTCTGGAGGCCAATCACTTACGTGGAACCGAACAATTATCAATTATGTTTATGTATTTCCATTTTGTATCTTATTATTTTGATGCAGGCAGTGGAGCGGTTCTTTAGGTTTGATTGGTTTTCACCATTACCTTTGAAGTAGATTCTTCTTTACTTTTTACTTGAGGGCGACTCAAGAGGCAGGTGAGTAAACACCTGATAGCCGGTCTGAGCATGGAAAAATCGTACCTCACCAACATGGTGTTGGGTAGCCCGCTCGCGGCACTTCCTCAGATATTCTTATTCCACAGTTTAACACTCTTTCTCATGAAAGCACTCAGTAAACCGTCAGCTATAGTTGTAGAAGAAATCACATGCTACTAAATAAGATGACAAGCTAGTAAATGAAGAGACATCCATGGACTACCGTTGTCAGCGTTAGTTGCCACTTATTGTAAGTCAAACATTGAGTGAGTTGATAAGTTTCCCTTGGAATGAGAAATAGAACTAAGGTGTTTTTGATAGATAGGTTAATCGAACCGACGTTCCTACGGAAGTCGATTCTAGGGGGAAGCTAATGTAACAGCATAGGTTGGTTGGTTAAGAGTTGACCCCAAACAACCAAGCATATGCCAAAACAGTATTGTTCAAGTATTCATTCACTTCCTTATTTTGTATAAGCGTTATATTCCTTATTATCTTATATTGAATGCTGGAAGCCTTTGTTTGTCTGAACAGATAATCCCACGCTCCACTGTGACTGCGCTAAGATCGAAATAAAGATTTCATTCAATTAGTGTCTGACTTCTTCTATCAATAACACGAGGGTTACCTATAGGCACGAAAAATTCATCAACAAAAACTGATAGCGCAGATGACGTGCAGTCTGGAGTCACGTAGATTTTGGTAACATAAACATATTTGTATTTATTTAGATGTTTTGGACGACATTTTAGAGTTTGACAGTCGATAAAGTCATTTGAAAACTTAAAACACAAACGAAGATCAACACCAGTGTATGTTTACAAACGTAGCTACACCGCCGCCACACCTCTTTTTATTGTTTGATCGATCTTGACGATAAATTTTGAAATCACGTAGTGATACTGTGCAATCGTCCTGTAAATCATTTAACCAAGTTTCTTGAATTGTGATGACACCACAATTACGATACTTATTTTGACTTAGTAGGAATTGCAGATAGTCCACTTCGTTGAATAGTGATCGGCAGTTAGAAATTAGCAGCTCGGGAATCGACATATGATTAATGTTCATTCTCTTTAACGCATATTGCCAACCACCACGGTGTCTTTGATAGTACTTTTTTGTAACTTGTGCAGCGAAAGGTCGTAGGCTATTCATAAAAGCGCTGGTAAGGCTTTTAAATTCTCATTTTAGCAAGCTCTAATCCAGTTTTCCGGAGTTACCTTTTGAATTATAGTAGTTGCTAGTAGGCTTGTTTTATGTTGAGCGTTCTTCAGAGGTGTTATTTTATCGTGTTGTTAATTTAAGGTGAAGCTTTAGCGATTAGAGATTTTTAAAATGAAGTTTGTTTTTATGATTGACACATAAATAACCAGCGATAACACATTTGGCCCCCGTTCCTTATCTTATACTCACTTGTATGTGATATATTTGGTGTTGATGTCACTGTGTAAAGAACTGAAAGAAAGTAGAATATATGAGACTCAGTTACCTAATTTATGTGGATTCAAACTCCGGCTGTGTCATTTCGAGGTAGTACTACTTCAGCCTTAGCTAACTTCTTACAGTAGCAACTTTATGGAGAAGCTCAACCTAATTTGTGTTGTCCAAACGTTTATCAAGGTTATGAGACCCATCAATGTATATTGTAAGTATCTTTCATTAACAACGCTGATTCCTAATGTTCAACACCAGAACTAGTTAACCAGAAAACAACAAAACTTTGGGCGAGTTTACGAGTTGTTCTCTTAATAATAAAAAACTTGATCTGGAAGGCTTTGCTGATCGACTATTAATTTAGATTTTTTATGCTTGAACCAATTCACGCTCAGGAATGACCACACGTTGTGAAAGAACGCAAAGATTTGAGCAACTGTATATACCCATAGATGAGACCTCAAAGGTGAGGTAATCATATAATAGCATTGACAATGGAAACAAGAGTAATTCTTATGAACTGAAAAACATTTTTATCATTGTTTTGTAAATGAATCAGCCCGAAACTTTAAATGAGTGGTCATAAAGACCTATATTTTGATTTAAGGATCAGAGAGGAAACAAATTTTAACTTGATGCTGGTAGAAAGTACGCTGCAAGCTCAAGCTTTTTCAATTAACTACAAGATTCACTTGTACACTTTTATTCTTACATACTTTAGTAAATTTAGCTAGTGAGCTTCATTTAGTACCTTCACTGTTAACCCTTATACTAATAGGGAACGCTATGCAATTAAAGTATTGATTGTGAATATGAAAACGTCTCATATTTGAGGTTTCTATCTGGCCAGTATATCGGTACAAATTTAACCAACATGCATTGTTATCGAGCCCTAACAAGCCGTAGATATGTACACACTCTTTAGGTCTACCAGTACGGATATCAGATGTTTCAAGCAACTGGGGGAAAACAGCAAAATTAAGAACTCGCGCAAAGTTCTGTTATTTACGAGCACTAATCAGTCATTTCTATCAATAAAATATCAAGCACATAAGTACATAATATGAGAGGATGCATTGAAACAAGTAATGAGAACTGCTAACTTGAACATCAATATCCTTAAAAAAATTTGGAACGTGACTAAACCCATTGGACGCATAACGGTGAAAATTCAAGTGTGTTCATTGCTTGATAGAATGGGTATGATCAGTCAATATGGACTCAAAATGTGAAATTTACATTCCGGACATTTTGACTTCATTGATACGTCATGCAGGATTACTGCTTTTTTCTATCTAGAAGCGGTAAATAAATCCCAAAAATAAATTGTTCTCTAAGTCTTCGGCATTTTAAGCTGAACTCATCAGCGTTAATAGTTGCACTTAACTGAATGCTCTCGGTCACGCATCCTCACCAGATCACGAGTGGATATGTCGTGCTACACATCCCCTACAACCGTTAGCCAGCTTAGATCAAACGTTCCTCAAGGCATCGATAGCCTTTCAAATATAACTTCAAACTCTTAACTTCTAACTTCGAATATGAATAACTGTCATACTTCGATCACAAAAGGCACTACTGATAAAAATGTTGAGGATGGCACAGATATTCAGTGTTTGACAACGCTTTTACCAGCAACATTTTCTAATATAATCCACCAAGAGATATCAAAAGACAGAGTCGAGAAGATCGGAAATAGTGTATTTGGAGATAACCAATATATCGGAATTCTCTGATCTAATCTGGGTAGTGATTGCGGTAGATGTTGAGCACAGCGTTACCACACGTGATCTGATGCGGATGCATGACCGAGCACCTTAAGCTAGGCGAGTCCACTAAAACATATGGTCAGCATCCAATGTCGAAAACTTACAGAGCTATTTATTTTGTGGATTTATTTACCGCTACAGTGTTATCAAACTCCGAATACTTGTGGCATTTTAATGTCGTAACAACTGACAGCTCATCATTTAATGTCTCACTTAATTACAAGAAACATGAAATGGCCCTCACTGACATACTCCTGAATGCATATATGGAAGGATTTGCTTTAATCTAGGAACAGTAAGTGGTAGACAATTAGTACTTCGAACTGTATGCTGGACAACAAAAAGGCAAAGTCATATATGTATACTCCGTAGTACAGCCTACTGAAAGCAAACATGAAGACATAATGGTATATAATATTCGTCCCAATTCCGAGAAATGAAATACTGATCATAAGTGTTAAAACAAATCGAGCGGGCTTTGTAAGCTGGTTGTTTTTGATTTTGGTGTCTTCGTACTGTGATTGGTCATATTCGCGGTAGGAGTTGTGGATTGGCTTCATAACTGAAGAGAGTCACTCATCCCGGAAATCTACATATTTAGAATTACTTGTATTTCTAGTAACTTCTCTGATGGTTTTAGCTCAGCGTCAAAAAGAGGAGCTGTAAGTGTACCTTAAAACTCATTTACACATGTAGCAACAGAGCTATTGCCGATTATTTGTTTGCTAATGGATACGTCAAAGCTCTGAATGCCTTCAGAGAAGAGTCACAACTGGTAATTTCAACAGTATGCCCTTAATGATTTGTAGGCAGGGGAAAATGACCGAAAATATGATGGCCTACTAGAGAAAAAGTGGACTTCCGTCATCAGACTTCAAAAAAAGGTTCGATTTGAGTGCATTTAGCTTTCTTCACGTTAGGTTTCGTCTGCTTGATTAGTTTGACTAAAAGTGTATTTTAACTTACATGTTTTGGGTTATCCTCATCTGAAAAACTTGGTGCATTATTTACACTATCTTCATAAGGAATTACTTCGACATCTGAAAGCTCTTTCATTTCCTATTTTATGTTTGCTTTGGCTCATCATATGGGGGGCATGAAGATTCCTAACCACGTGCTATTATACTGACAATCAAGACTGCTATTGGTTGTGTAGTAGCTTGGGTTCGGATCTAAGTGCTGATTAAATTTTTGATGCTACGAACTGACTGCGTAGACAAGTAAGCCTACTTGACATCCAAGGACAACTGGGTCATCTCAGAGCTTTTAACTCCAGACTAGAGTTGATTCAATTACCTCCAGACCTATGAGAATGTTCGAACTCCAAATATTAACAACCACGTAAATGTATGGCGTGAATGATAATGAAATGACAAAAAAAAACACATCAAATGAGGTCTCGCTACCTGACCGTAGCTGCTACCTTGACGTGGTGGTCGTGCTTGCCTGTTCTGATGACTCAACCGAACTGTTTAGGCTGGAAAAGATGTTCTTTTTAGGTCCTATCATGCCAGACAAGTCGATTTGAGAACGGTAAGACTAAAAGCAGCAGCCATTATCTACCTCAACGGGAGATGCTATCTAGTATAGGAGTAGTCTGGAAGAAAGCTAAGGGCGGCCAGGCGAAAACGTTGTATCAGCACATGATGTCACTGGCTTTTGGAATTAGCCATTTTAATTAATGTAAACCACCTGGTTGGAGCGCGTGTACTTATAATCAATAATTAGAGGCTTTGAATGACATGGCTCAAAAGCGTCTGCAGTGGCGTAGGTTCATCCATTTCTTGACCTCCCCTAAATTTTGAGACTCAAAATTCGTCATAACTCTGCTATTATTTCACCAATTTATATTTTACCACTGAATCCTATCTTCTATGTCTATTTTTTTCCATTACCATCGGTACTGTTACTACTTCTATTCTGAGATTTAACCGGACAATTCTATCTGTGCTAATGGGGTGTGGAAACTTGAACAGATATAAATACATACCGGGTTTTAGGTTGTAACTGACTGAGGTCTTGGTTGTCCTATGCGAATAAATCTTCAGTCATGTTAAAACTGGACATGCAGGGACCAAACAATGTTGGGTTACTAAGTAGAAAGCAAAGTGAATATAAAGTATATCTTTAGATATATGGTTGCACAGTTAATCTTAGTTCTAAAATCATAGCTCTGACTGAGAGGTATAACGTGACAGATATTTGACCGCAATCTCAGACCCAGTTGTCATAACTTCCGGAGTCGTTTTGAAATCGTTTGTAAAAGCAACCAACTATTGGGACCTGTGCACTATTGCCTGCGAGTAGTTTTATGTATTTATTTTAACACAAATATTAATAAAAAAGGTACTGAATATATATGCGCCACACAAGTCACTTGATTT